TATCTCATCCCATGAGTTTTCTCACTTTTACCCTTCTGATTCTCTCCCCCATCCCACCGGGGGGGAGTGAGGAAGCGGCTGTGTGGTGCTCAGTTGCCGGCTGGGGTTAAACCACAACACCAGCTTTCAAACTTACATTTTGTCTTTAGGCTTCCTGGCAGCAGGTTGTGCAGGTTGATAGTAGAATATGAGAGTCCCATAGCTGTGAAATGAGTGGGTAGCAGTTTGGGATGCTGGCAAGTTGCCTGTCAATATGATCCTCTGTTTGCTTCTAGTACAAGTGCGAAATAATTAATATTATTTGGATAGCTGTCATCTGTAACATGTCATGCATTGGCACTGAGCCACATTTCGGTGCTCCTAAATCCCAGCAGTCTAACAGGGCTGGTTATGACGAAGATAAGGGACATCCAGGTACTGTTCTCACATGGAAAATCAGAAGCCTGTGGAGTTGTTGCAGAGTAAACTGATTAAAGTGATAATTAGGACTCAATATGAACTATCAAGACCAGCAGCAAGCTGGGACAAGTCAGAAAACAGATGTCTCCCATCCTTCGCTTGTTTTTTCAGCACTATCAGTTTAGGAATATAAAGCCTGATACCGGCAGGGATTTTTTCTTCTTTGCAGCTGTAGTTCCTTTAATGTCATTGTTTCTGCATTGTCTCTGTGAGGAAGCTCTCAGGTTTTCCTTTGGGAAAAGCAATCAATTCACGCTTAAAATTGCCACGCTATCCTCAATATATAACTGAACGCAATGGCAATGGCCAGCATAGATGAGGCAATTCCCACTTTTCACTGAAATACAGCCAGTGATGTGTCCAAGGCCAGGCCCTCGTTTCTCCTCTCCACTATTTTTGCTGAAACACTTTCTGAATCAAGGTGCTGCACAAGCTCGGGGAAACCTGTCCTCTGCCCCTCACTTTCTCGCCTGCCCTAGCGAGGCTGTGTGAGTAAGACATGATGTGTCCTTTACAACTCACCTCAGACAGTTCTAGCTGTGACGAGGGAGAAGCACTCCAAGCTAAATTTAAAATTAAATTTAAAAATATTTTAAATGTATTTGAATTTAAATTTAAAAATATTTTACACTTTCAGAACAGGATTTTTGTTCCATTTTAAATCAGCCAGCTGCAATGGGAAATGTACATGGTCCAATAGGAGAAGCCCAGACTGACGGGCTGCAGAGTGGAAAAGGAAGATTTTTGCTTACGCTTTTCAAGAATAGCAACATATATACCTGCTTGCAATCACAGTAAGTGATTGCAGGTATAGTGAATTTTGCATGTATTTTAGGCTTTGTTTTGTTTGTTTTTTCATTTTAGTAGGAGATTTTCAACTGCTCCCATGGGAGATGAATGCCCAGATCACCTTGGCTTTCAGGGCAAATCGCTTATCTAGGCGCCTTTCCTTTCTTTGAAAATATCCTCTCCAAATAAGCATCATTTTGACCGTGTCAGTCACGAACTCAAGAGACTACAACTTGTTACCACACTGCTTACACATCAGTTGGTGAATAGTCCCACTGATATTAAAGGGGGCAGAAACTAAAAATCAGTATGGTCTGCTGTACATGAGCAAGAGCAATGTACTTAAGTCATATAGAGAGGATAAATCCAGCATTTAGAATTAAATTTCCCATCAAGTTCGGTCTTGTATACTTAATATTACAATGGAAAATGACTACAGATTTGGTTTTTTTTCAAGTTGTTTAGTGATTCCTGAATTACTAATGTTGGGCTAAATCTTCAACTAGAGTAAACTGGCAGAGTTTGTGAAAATCAGTGCAGTTTTTCCAACATACAGCTGCCGAGAATCTCCCTCGTTATGTATAAACAGGATCCATCTGCCTTGAATTCATGTAAGGATAATACATGAGAAATAATAACTAAAATTACCCTTTATATATGGAGAAGAATTTGTCCCATGTAGCCACAGTGCAGAACTGCTGTGTGACAGCGCAGGAGACCCTGTTCTTCACCCACGTGCTGAAGTCAGTGGTGGCGCAGCCCAACCTGGGCGCAGGGACACTGGTGTTCTACCTTTTCATTATGTTCTCAGCCCTTCTACCTCCTCTCTCAGCTTCTTACTCATTTCCTCCTATCTTGCCATCAATCACTTGCTGTTGGAAGGGCTGGTTTTTAAGAGCCTGGTTTTTTGTGCCAGCAACATCAGCGATATCACAGTGCTTTAAAACGGCATTAATGAAGTTCTGAGTTAGTTGTGTTCAGGACAACAAATGGGCAATTATAGCATTTAAATTACAATATTGAATGATTCTGAAACCAATGCAGAATTTTGGTAGACAGGGATTTTAAAAATGCAATCACAAGTATGCTTTAGGAGCATTTTCATTACCCACTCACGGCTGAGCCATTAATTAAGTGTAAGGTCAGTCTCATCCGCTGAATGAAAAACAAGGGCCACCGTGTTCTCCTGAGGGCTGCCAGCAGAGACCGGAGGAGAGATCCATCAGCACAGCTTCCTTCCACTCACACTTTTATAAAAACAATGGAGCAGAGTGGCAGAAACTGTGTTTAAATACCTTCCCATGCATTACATGAAATGATGATGGCATACAGTTAAGATCTGAGGTAATACTTTCAAAAGCACTCAAACGACTTGGGGACCTCGGTTTTATCTTCAAACATGACTTAATTACTGAGATCACTAAACCACAGGTGGTTCACACAGGGCAGCTCTCTGAACTGTGTTTCTGAATTTTGGAAGATTGTT